TGTGACCCTGGACCACAAAACCAGTCATAAGTGTAAGTTTTATGAAATTGAGATCTATACATCATCTGAAAGCTGAATAAATAAGCTTTCCATTGATGTATGGTTTGTTAGGATCGGACAATATTTGGCTGAGATACAACTATTTGAAAATCTGGAATCTGAGGGTGCAAAAAAATCTAAATATTGAGAAAATCATCTTTAAAGTTGTTCAAATGAAGTTCTTAGCAATGCATATTACTAATCAAACATTAAGTTTTGATATATTTACGGTAGGACATTTACAAAATATCTTCATGGAACATGATCTTTACTTAATATCCTAATGATTTTTGGCATAAAAGAGAAATGTATAATTGTGACCCATACAATGTATTGTTGGCTATTGCTACAAATATCCCCCAGCGACTTAACACTGCTTTTGTGCTGCAGGGACACATTACCAAATAAATCCTAATCTAATCATGACAAATATATATCGTTGGAAAGGTCTAAGAATCCTAAACAGCTATTTTGTAGGACATTAATTTATGACAAGAGTGCACCTCACAAATCTACATCATGACAGGAATCACAAAGGTTGCCTTTTTCCCTAACGCTTTATAAATCATCATAAATTATATATCAATTGAAAGCTTAAAAAACATCCTGTGAAAACCATTTTAAAATCAGACATTGCTTGTCCGTGGAAATGGTACTTCAAAATCATATTACAAAATGTATAACGATGTTTGGATCGTGCACTTTCTCGTCTCTGTTCAAGACGGGCCTTCATTTGATACAGGAACTATTCGAGCCGTTCGTGCCAGACTGAGGAGAGAGGTGTTGTAATAATGTAAAATATGTGAAAAATAACGTGTTTTTCGAACAACCTAGTATGAGTGTTCTAGTACACCCCCAAAACAAGATCAAGACTTTGTAAAAGAGTATAATAGGACCCCTTTAAAGGGTTAAAGTGTTTCTGTGCAGTGCGCTGAGATGCTGGACTCTCTGGGAGTGCCGTGGGTGTCGGCGGCGGGCGAAGCGGAGGCCATGTGTGCTTATCTGGACTCACGGGGCGCTGTGGACGGATGCATCACTAACGACGGAGACGTCTTCTTATACGGCGCTCAGACCGTCTACAGGAACTTCAACATGACTACAAAGGTTCCTACTCCTGTTTAAGTCTCCACGCTAGGGTTTCAACAAACAATTATTTTGATAATCGATTAATCTAACGAGTATTAGACCGATTAATCGTCGATCATTTCACTGATTAATAATCGGTAGACTTTGATTGATTATTCAGCTTTTGCAGTTAGTTAAAATATTGAGTTATACATATTCTAATCACTTCAGATTTTGAAAATCATAATGTAATTATAATTGATTAATTTATAGAAATAAATATATTTGTCTGAGAAACTCTCTTATTCACCATTTAATTAGCTATATGAAACACTATTCTGCCTAACATCTCCTTTTGTAAGTCTTTTATATGGATAAGAAACAAAATAAAGGTAAGTGATAAGACGCTTTATTTTTGGATAAACGATTTTATTCACAACAATCTCTTAAAATACTTTATAGGGTTGTTATAATAATCCTGAGCTAGATCAAGCTTCGATCTCTGCAAACCAAACCATCAGTTTAATGAAATAATATATTTTGCCACTAATAAACAGATGTATCGCTAGCTAGCTCCACGCGGGAGAGCTGCTTTATAACAGAAAGTAAAGCTGTGATTCTAGCTGAAAGCGACACCGACTCTGGTTTTTCATGTTTAAGGCTGTCTGCTGCATAAAGTATTATATAAATAAACGCAGAGCTCGTGCAAACATCACAGCGCTGTAATCAGATGCTTTCTTAACTGCTGCTTTCTCACCGCTGTCAGCTTTTCTTGTTTATTTGGTTATTGAGAGGAAAGCGCGCAGCGTATATTTACACATTCATCCAAACGCTGTTCGGCTACGTTTGCTCTACAGCGCCTCACTGGTCAGACCACAGTACTGCAGCTCTTACACTAGCTCACATGAAGTCAGACGGCTACTCCACAGCAAGAATATTTGTCCACAGTTTATGTTTTTATTGCAGGATCCTCAGGTGGACTGCTATCAGACGTCTCGTGTTCGGGCCGAACTCGGGCTCTCCAGAGACACTCTCGTGGGGCTGGCCGTTCTCCTCGGCTGCGACTACATCCCCAAGGTTCAGCAGATTTATAGGATGAAAGGCTTTCTGAAATGATGAAACGTTATATTGAATGTTGTGCTGTTCTCTTTCTGGTCCTGTAGGGCGTCGCCGGAGTCGGCAAAGAACAGACACTGAAGCTGATTCAGAATCTGAAAGGAAAAAGTCTTCTTCAGAAGTATGAATCGTACTCTATTCAGGATTAATAACTAAAACTAAAACCAACTTGGTTATTTTATTTCAGCTGGTTGCCAAGGCAACATTTCTCATTATCACTTGGTTTAATTTGAAATACTAAAATAACTCAGACTAAACAAGCAATTAAATCACATTTTTTTGAATTATTAACTAAATTATTAAAACATTAACTAAAATAAAGTGTAAACAGAAAATAAAAAAATTTATCTAATTCAAAATATTATTAGTATATTAATAATAAATGCTTCCTTATATAAGCTATTTCCAATATTTCTGCTGTAATTGTGACAAACATGCTTGTTTTTTTATGATTTTACTAACAGAGACTGTGAGTATTGATATTAAATTAATGAATCATGTTTTATTGTCACATTTTTAGACGATTCAAGATCTGTTTGTTCGTCTATCAAAAAAGTTATTGAGAAGAGGGGAATAAATATTTGTATATTTTTTTCGTATTAAGTTCTATTCTAATTTTATTTTTACATCTTAATTTTAACACCAGCCCCTGTTTGAGAACCGCTGCTTTATTATACTCCAATACTCCAGGTTATTTTTGTTTTCTCACATTAGTCAGGCTGTTTTAATTGTAATATTTTATTGTTTATTGTATTATTTAAACAGACAGTTCTGGCCTCTTTACCCAACAGGCACCTTGATATCAATGTGACATCAAATATGAGTCAAGACTTGATCAAAATACTGTAACATCATTTTAAATTCAGTTTGGACAGCAATTTGAAAATAGGTTAAGTTAATCCCACACTAAAATTGTTTTAATATATTTGTAGGCCAGTATATATGTATGACGTTTGATTTACAGCAAGTTAAAGTCATGACAAGTTTGTGACGTCAGTTTGATTTACATATTTGAGATCAATTGTGATGTTTTTTAGGTTATTACATGCAAAGCTAGCACTATGTTTCCTAATAATATCTCCCAAGGGGAACATGTAAAGAGTGAAGAGTAACGGTCCTAGTACTGAGCCTTGAGGTACTCCATACTGCACTTGTGATTGGTATGATGCCTCTTCAATTTCTCGTTTTCATGTGGTTTAATTCGAAGTACTAAAATAACTCAATCTAAACAAATTAATAAAAACTCATCCCAATCTTGAACGGCAGTGTGTGTGTGTGTGTGTGTGTGTGTATACACTACCAGTCAAATGTTTTTGAACAGTAAGATTCTCTTCTGCTCACCAAGCCTGCATTTATTTGATCCAAAGTACTGTCTTTTTTAATCATCAGTTGCCCACTGGGTAAAAGTGCGTGTTTGTTCAGAGTTCAGTGTGTTTCTGCTTGGCTGCAGGTTCATTGAGTGGGACGCAGACAGAGCTGAAAGGTCAGAGGTCGCGGTGAAGAAGGTCACGCACTGTCTGGTCTGTCGGCACCCTGGTCAGTATCAGTATGGTCTGATTCCTCGACACGCTTACTGAGCTGAGACTCGTCAGTGTTTACTGTGCTCCTCTCGTGTCTCGTAGGCTCGGCTAAAGCGCACGAGCGCAGCGGCTGTGTGTTCTGTGAGAGCGAGCGCTTCTGTTCGCCGCAGGACTACGATTCCCAGTGTCCCTGTGAGTGGCACCGCACCGAACGCACTCGCCAGGCATCCTCCGTCGAGGCCAGCATCAAGAAGTACGTGAAAAAATACACATGTGCTGCAGGGGTGTGCGATATGGACAAAAAACAATATCTCGATATTTTCTGGGATTTTATCGATAACGATAATTCGACTATTTTGCTAAGTGTATTATTGTGCCACTGCCATGGACAGCCGACTCCTGATGTTTTAGATATTCTTCATATTCTGTGTGGCCAGTTTACAACTTCATCTTTTCCAATAAGTTTATTAAGCAGTTTATTAAAGGGATAGTTCACCCAAAAATGCAATGTAATCAGCGCTGTTTACGATCAGCACAAAAAGTATTCTCGTAGCTTCGTAAAATTACAGTTGTGCCGCTCAAGTTGTGAACTGATTCAGATGCTTCAGTCCGAACTGGCTCCACAGTAGTTCACTAAAAAGAATCAGTTCGTTCGTTCGTGAACCGGACATCACTCTGGACCGTTTGCCTGAGGCTCTGGATTACAGGTGATCATGCTGTAAATAATGTTCAGTTTCTTGCACAGACCGATCGTTTCTCTTCATAAGACCTCCATATATCGTCAGGAGCCACAGGGATTCATGTTGTGCTCCTTTATATGCTTTTTTTTATTCTCAAGTGACAGCAGCTGTTGACTCGCATTGTATGAATCACCAAGGACAGGTTTCAGCTAAAAAATCTTCTCTAATGTTCTACTGAAGAACAAATGGGAGAGTAAATGAACAGCAAATGTTAATTTCTGGGTGAACTGTCCCTTTAAGAGTGTGTTTTCTGTGTCTGTAATGGTGTTTGCAGGAAGACGCTGGCGTGTGAGCAGTTCCCCTTTACTGAGGTGAGTATTATAGTCTGGTTTCTTCATGTAGGACGTCAGGGCCAGTATTCACAAAACATTTTATCTTGCCACTAAGAGTTCTCCTAAATAGCAGTATAGCAGTTTTCTCTTCACACCTATTCACAGAGCTGCGGAGACTAACCTGTACTAAGGAATAGAGAGAAGTCTTAAGCTCAGAGTAAGGGGGCGGGGTTTACCTCGTTGCTATGGGTGATGTCATCACGCTTATTAACTATGCACACAGTGATTGGCTGATGGTCTGTCAGAGATTTATTCATGGACATATTGTAGAGCTTGATATTATGTTGCCATAAAGGTTTAAAAATAGAAATGTTAATTGCCACATTCAAATAAGTCAAAAGTCATGTTTTTTATTGTCATCATGTTTTTATTGTGTTAGTTAGATGTATTTTTTTAGTTGTTGTTTTTTTAACTTTAATCAAAATAACCTAACTGCAGTTTGATTGAGATTAATTGGAATGCACAATGAAAAAACATGAGTTATCCGTTTCTGCAAATGAACTCTTCAGATTTGAAAATGCAGGCTAAGTGTCACTAATTAAACAAGTGTGTGTTCAGTTAATTGTCAGCCTCTTACGTGTGTGCTCCTCATAATTAGTGGATGTGGATGTTTTAATAAACGGAGCAGAATAATCATGGCTGATAGTAAGACATGCAAACGTAAAACAGCTTTTACTTCTTCAGCAGCTGCTTAATGAAGACAAGGATATAATCAAAGCAGAATCTGGAGTTAGGATAACCTCCCAAACCAAAGGCGATATCTTTCTAAAAGCTCATTATCGTCAGACGTTTCTAAGATGTTTCTGTTCTGAGGCAGATTGCCGGAAACAGCTATTTTAGGAGAGTTTGTGGCTGAGGACTCCTCTTCACGGCTCCTAACCTTTCACAGATTTAGGAGCTAGTTTGAAACGCTTTGTGAAACACTCTTAGAGCAAACATTTAGGAGTCCTACACTTAGGACTGACACGCCCATTATTTTTAAGATCGTCTCCTAAATCGGCGAGTTACGAGCTGCTTTGAGATGTTTTGTGAATGCACACGTTCAGACTGGTTTGCTGATGTTTCAGATCATCTGTGAGTTCTTGGTGCCGAAGGACAAACCCGTGCCGCCGTTCCGCCGGAGGAAACCCAACCTGCTGCTCCTGCAGGTACGGAGCGCTTCAGAGCGATTCTGAGGGTTTATACGAGCTGTTTTCTGAGGGACGTGTGTTGGTTTGTCAGACGTTTGCTCTGGAGAAGATGGACTGGCCCAAACACTACAGCAGCGAGAAGCTTCTGGTGCTGATGACCTACACTGAGCTCATGAACCGCCGACACGGCCGAGACTCGCAGGCCCAGATCCAGCCCATCAGGTGACTGCACTCAAACACACTTCACCTGACATTACATACAATACTACACTACTCATTTTCTTTTAACTTGATGTGCTAATACAAACTATATAGACATATTTAAAAAGAATTAATGATAATAATGGTAAAAAACACAACAAATTACTTTTTATAATGTTTTACTTAAAAATGTAGAGTGAAAGAGCTTTTGATTGGTTTCTGTAGAATAACTGATTAATCGTTTAGAATGACACCAGAAACATGAATTAAGTAAGCCAATAGAGGCGTTCAGTTTTTAATTGATAGATTATTGTAGTTTCATTATCAAGAAATTGCGCTTTTGTGTTATGAAATGATCATCATCCAGTAATAATCAACTATACACACTCACTCACTCACTCACACACACACACACTCTCTCACACACACACACTCACACTCTCACACACTCTCTCACACTCACACTCTCACACACTCTCTCACACTCACACTCTCACACACTCTCTCACACTCACACTCTCACACACTCTCTCACACTCACACTCTCACACACTCTCTCACACTCACACTCTCACACACTCTCTCACACTCACACTCTCACACACTCTCTCACACTCACACTCTCACACACTCTCTCACACTCACACTCTCACACACTCTCTCACACTCACACTCTCACACACTCTCTCACACTCACACTCTCACACACTCTCTCACACTCACACTCTCACACACTCTCTCACACTCACACTCTCACACACTCTCTCACACTCACACTCTCACACACTCTCTCACACTCACACTCTCACACACTCTCTCACACTCACACTCTCACACACTCTCTCACACTCACACTCTCACACACTCTCTCACACTCACACTCTCACACACTCTCTCACACTCACACTCTCACACACTCTCTCACACTCACACTCTCACACACTCTCTCACACTCACACTCTCACACACTCTCTCACACTCACACTCTCACACACTCTCTCACACTCACACTCTCACACACTCTCTCACACTCACACTCTCACACACTCTCTCACACTCACACTCTCACACACTCTCTCACACTCACACTCTCACACACTCTCTCACACTCACACTCTCACACACTCTCTCACACTCACACTCTCACACACTCTCTCACACTCACACTCTCACACACTCTCTCACACTCACACTCTCACACACTCTCTCACACTCACACTCTCACACACTCTCTCACACTCACACTCTCACACACTCTCTCACACTCACACTCTCACACACTCTCTCACACTCACACTCTCACACACTCTCTCACACTCACACTCTCACACACTCTCTCACACTCACACTCTCACACACTCTCTCACACTCACACTCTCACACACTCTCTCACACTCACACTCTCACACACTCTCTCACACTCACACTCTCACACACTCTCTCACACTCACACTCTCACACACTCTCTCACACTCACACTCTCACACACTCTCTCACACTCACACTCTCACACACTCTCTCACACTCACACTCTCACACACTCTCTCACACTCACACTCTCACACACTCTCTCACACTCACACTCTCACACACTCTCTCACACTCACACTCTCACACACTCTCTCACACTCACACTCTCACACACTCTCTCACACTCACACTCTCACACACTCTCTCACACTCACACTCTCACACACTCTCTCACACTCACACTCTCACACACTCTCTCACACTCACACTCTCACACACTCTCTCACACTCACACTCTCACACACTCTCTCACACTCACACTCTCACACACTCTCTCACACTCACACTCTCACACACTCTCTCACACTCACACTCTCACACACTCTCTCACACTCACACTCTCACACACTCTCTCACACTCACACTCTCACACACTCTCTCACACTCACACTCTCACACACTCTCTCACACTCACACTCTCACACACTCTCTCACACTCACACTCTCACACACTCTCTCACACTCACACTCTCACACACTCTCTCACACTCACACTCTCACACACTCTCTCACACTCACACTCTCACACACTCTCTCACACTCACACTCTCACACACTCTCTCACACTCACACTCTCACACACTCTCTCACACTCACACTCTCACACACTCTCTCACACTCACACTCTCACACACTCTCTCACACTCACACTCTCACACACTCTCTCACACTCACACTCTCACACACTCTCTCACACTCACACTCTCACACACTCTCTCACACTCACACTCTCACACACTCTCTCACACTCACACTCTCACACACTCTCTCACACTCACACTCTCACACACTCTCTCACACTCACACTCTCACACACTCTCTCACACTCACACTCTCACACACTCTCTCACACTCACACTCTCACACACTCTCTCACACTCACACTCTCACACACTCTCTCACACTCACACTCTCACACACTCTCTCACACTCACACTCTCACACACTCTCTCACACTCACACTCTCACACACTCTCTCACACTCACACTCTCACACACTCTCTCACACTCACACTCTCACACACTCTCTCACACTCACACTCTCACACACTCTCTCACACTCACACTCTCACACACTCTCTCACACTCACACTCTCACACACTCTCTCACACTCACACTCTCACACACTCTCTCACACTCACACTCTCACACACTCTCTCACACTCACACTCTCACACACTCTCTCACACTCACACTCTCACACACTCTCTCACACTCACACTCTCACACACTCTCTCACACTCACACTCTCACACACTCTCTCACACTCACACTCTCACACACTCTCTCACACTCACACTCTCACACACTCTCTCACACTCACACTCTCACACACTCTCTCACACTCACACTCTCACACACTCTCTCACACTCACACTCTCACACACTCTCTCACACTCACACTCTCACACACTCTCTCACACTCACACTCTCACACACTCTCTCACACTCACACTCTCACACACTCTCTCACACTCACACTCTCACACACTCTCTCACACTCACACTCTCACACACTCTCTCACACTCACACTCTCACACACTCTCTCACACTCACACTCTCACACACTCTCTCACACTCACACTCTCACACACTCTCTCACACTCACACTCTCACACACTCTCTCACACTCACACTCTCACACACTCTCTCACACTCACACTCTCACACACTCTCTCACACTCACACTCTCACACACTCTCTCACACTCACACTCTCACACACTCTCTCACACTCACACTCTCACACACTCTCTCACACTCACACTCTCACACACTCTCTCACACTCACACTCTCACACACTCTCTCACACTCACACTCTCACACACTCTCTCACACTCACACTCTCACACACTCTCTCACACTCACACTCTCACACACTCTCTCACACTCACACTCTCACACACTCTCTCACACTCACACTCTCACACACTCTCTCACACTCACACTCTCACACACTCTCTCACACTCACACTCTCACACACTCTCTCACACTCACACTCTCACACACTCTCTCACACTCACACTCTCACACACTCTCTCACACTCACACTCTCACACACTCTCTCACACTCACACTCTCACACACTCTCTCACACTCACACTCTCACACACTCTCTCACACTCACACTCTCACACACTCTCTCACACTCACACTCTCACACACTCTCTCACACTCACACTCTCACACACTCTCTCACACTCACACTCTCACACACTCTCTCACACTCACACTCTCACACACTCTCTCACACTCACACTCTCACACACTCTCTCACACTCACACTCTCACACACTCTCTCACACTCACACTCTCACACACTCTCTCACACTCTCTCTCACACACACACACACACACACACAGACACACACAGCCGTTCAAAAGTTTGGGATCAGTAAGATTTTTAATGTTTTTTAAAGTAGAAGAAATTTATACTTTTTTTATTTATCAAAGATGTGACAGTAAAGACATTTATAATGTTAGAAAAGATTTCTATTTTAAATAAATGCAGTTCTTTTGAACTTTCTATTCATCTGTGAATCCTGAAAAATAAAATGTATCACGGTTTCCACAAAAACTATTAATGTGTTCAACATTGATAATAATCAGAAATGTTTCTCGAGCAGCAGATCAGCATATTATAGTGATTTCTGAAGATCATGTGACACTGAAGACTGGAGTAATGATGCTGAAAATACAGCTGCACATCACAGAAATACATTACAGTTTAACAGAGATTCACATAGAAAACAGCTGTTTTACATTATAATAATATTTCACAATTTTTAAAAAATGTATGTATTTTTGATCAAACAAATGCATCCTTGATGAGCATAAAAGGCTTTTTTTTTTAAACATTCAAAATCTTATTGATCCCAAACTTTTGAATGGCAGTGTGTGTGTGTGTATAGAATAGAATATTTAATATAATACATTTTTATCTGCATTTTTTGTTGTTATTTTAATGAAATGTTTTACATGTTTTTTTCTGTTAATATGTTCATATCTTGTGTTCAGTTTTACTTTGTCTATTAAATATTTTCTAGGCTAAAATGCTCTTTTTCTGTGAAAATGTTTTTGTCTCCTCCGAACAGAATATATAAACGGCGTGTTAGGAGCAGCGTCTCCTGCTTCGAGGTCGTCTGGAAGAAACCAGGTGACGAACAATCTTTGAGTGCATCAGCAGATACGGTCGAGTTCTTCTGTGTTGTGTGGATGAGTGACAGCTTGTTAGTGTGTTGTTGTGAGCTGGGATCAGCAGGGGTCAGGGGTCACAGGTGACGGAACACATGTGTCACTCTCAGGTGCTAAAAGAGCTTCCTGTAGACACCGTGAGCCTCGCCAATCCACACTCACACAGCCGTAACACCTTTATTACAGCGCTTTACACGGCTTTGACTCTCGCTTCAGCTTTAAAACGGCATCATATAATAACAGGCCTTCAAAGAAATCAAGGAAGGTTATGTTTCAAGGCCTGGAACGCTCATAGAAATGAGTGAAGTGTTTGTCAGGCTTTCTTTGTGTATCGAGAATGTACGATTCTCGCTCTTAAATATTTGATATATGTTGAATTCAGCACTTTTTCAGTGTCGAGTAAAGCATGCAGTCTGTCCATTAAGAGACATTTAGTGAGTGGAATCATTGAAATGATTAATTTGATCAGTCTGAGGCAGATATATGAAGTGAAGTGGAGCGTCACTGGTTCAGCAGGGAGATGATGAGGGTGTTGGGTTGAGCTCATGTTTGAGTGCTGGTTGTGTGGCGTGTCAGATCACTATGTGTTCGCTGAGGGCCGTGAGGAGCAGACGGAGGTGCACACGCTGGAGGAGGAGTCTCTCTTCAGCCTGGCGTTTCCCGGGATCGTGCAGGACTTCCAGCGGGAGCGAGCCGGCGCTCAGGAGAACAACACCAAGAGTACGTGCATCATTCATTCATTCATTCATTCATTCATTCATTCATTCAGAGCAGGTGAGCCGGTGAAGGACAGACGCTCTGATAAAAATAAAAAAAAGACTAAAAAAAATTACATTTCAAAAGTAAATAGAATGCATACAAATAATTCAAAATATTCATAAATACTATAATAGTATATTAATGGTACTAAAATAACACTGGTTGACAGTTTTGTAATGCTCTTACAATGCAAGTAAATGTTAAAAAAGAAACATTTAAAAGACAAGGGACTAGTAATGATTTTGCCACCAAATAAAATTTGTGTTTGAAGTCAACATAAAACGAAAACCGCGACCTAATTTTCTATATCCAAATTAAACAATTTATCAAACACGAATAAACTGTGAGCCGGCACTTTTTTCCTCCGGATATTAATGAGATTGTAGTATAAAAAAAAATATAAAAATAAATGGAAAGAGTTCTGAATGCAAGTTTTATGAAGGAACATATGTGCGCAGATAAATCATTTATAATCAGCACCACAATATTCTTTCAAATATCAATATTGTCAGCTTTGATTTCATGCTGAATTTACATTTCCCGATGTGTTTATCGAAGGGTGAAGAACCACTAAAATGTCAGCATTGTAGCTCTAAGTTATCTGTAAAACACCTTTTTAATGTCATGAGATGAATATTTGTATTAGGATAAACTTTGAAGGACTTATTTTATAAGATGGCCCTAGAATAACTTTTACAGTTTATAGAGCGGAGAGTTCCGGTGCTTGATTCTGATTGGCTGAGCGGCGTTCGAAGCTGTTGTAAATGACGCTACAAAGTAACACACACCTTTGTTTACGTTTGTGTGTTGCTCGGCAACCACTTTGTAGCAACCACAACTGTTTCTGAGGAGCTACATTGTTTGGTGGAAGAATACTGTGTTTATTAATATCATTACACTTTATTTGCTCTGTTTTATTCTGTGAAACCGTGCTGCGTATATGTGAATAACCGTTTTATAAAAGCAGTAATCCCCGTGAAGCTGTGGTTTACAGTTAATTTATAACAGCTAAGAGGGTTTTAGGCACGACGCTTTGCGTAACAACGCCCCTTAGCTGTTATAAATTCACTGTGAACCACGCCTTCACGGGGCTTACTGCTTTATTTGATCAAGTACGCTTTAGAAGAGTTGTGTATACAAAATTGTTCTTCTGAGTAGAATTGTATTTTATTGTTTTACATTTTTATATAATATATTTTATTTTCATTTAGTAAATCATTATTTGTGTCTCAATCGTTGCAGAAAGGAAGCCGAGAGCGAGGAAAGAGAAGCCGGCCGATTCCCATGATGCCGTGTCGGATCTCTTTGCTCAGATGTCTCTGCAGACGGACGCGGATCCAGACCCTGGATCTACCCAGAATCCTCCACAGCCTCCTCCTTCCCAGAATTCCCTGTCAGAGTCGGCTCTGATTGGCCAGCTGCATCTCAGCAGTATAGACTGGGACTCTTCGTCGTTCACCGCCTCGCCGTCCCAGAAGCCTCAGAGCGACAGAACTGACCCGAGACCTGCGGAAGACACAACCTGTTCTCTTAAAGAGCGAATAATCATGAAACACACCCAGAAACAGCAGCCGAAGAGTCCAGAATCTGAAGAAGACGACTGCCGTTCAATCCCAGCTAACGTTCGCAAGACCAAAACAAGTACAGATCCCACCGTTAAACCCAGCAGAAGCCCTCTCAGACCTGCAGCCAGGCCTCCGAAGAGCGTCTCGGGACGCAGAAAGCCTTCTGAGAACTGCAAGAGCGTGTGTAAGACGAGAGCCGTCGGTGACGACAGCGACGCGGAGAACCGACCCGGATCACAGCAGCCCAGAAACACAGCCAGGGTCCCGCTCCGGACGCAGAAATCAGCCGAGAGCCAGCAGACGAGCGTTAAAGCTGCGGAAGCACCAGAG